ACCAGAAACACATTTGTGTTCTCAAAAAACATTACTTAAGTTGCTGACACATTTAAAGCAGCATTACACAGTTAAACTAGAACTTAGAGTTGGCTCCAAAAATAAAACTCACACAGACTCCTAAATAAATGTAATTCTTTTAAAGGCAAATACGAAATACTGTTAGTAGGTCTTTTAGAGTTCTGTGTAAAGAAAAAAAAACACTGTTGGTAAAACAAACTGCAACACAATTAATTCTACTTCTACCATCTTCAGTTTGTGTTTTAAAACTACTTAAAATATGAGCTGATAAGAAAAGTTTAATTATTTTTTAACAACCATCAACTTAAAATTTGGTTTTTTTTTTTTGCTTGCTTGTTTGTTTGTTTGCTTAAAATTTACAGCACAATGAAGACAAGCATTGAAAACAATTGTGCGACAGTTCAAAACAAAACAAAACACCAGCTCAGAACAAAATGTCACTGGTTTTAAGATGGGTGGAACTATGAGTAGGCTGAAGATTACTGGTAATTTACAAATATAGGCTATATAGAAAATTAAGTAAATAAATAAAGTGGATTTATTTTTGGCATCAGTTTATTGTTGGGTCATAAATGAGATTGAGGTATTTGAGAAAATTTATTCCAGAAATCAATAAAAGTTAATATATTGTTGTTGCTGATTTATTGAGAGATGGAGATAATGAGTGATTTGAATAGATGTTTTTTGATTTCCAGTTCTGTAATATGATTTTCTTTGTGATAGATAGAGAATTTGGATTAATGTAGAGTATTTCTTATGCAGGGCTATTTCAGTGGTGTCTCTCCGCAAACAAAAGAATGTGGACACTGGGATTGTGTAATCTAGAATAGTGGACAGTGTTTGGGTGCTTTTAATCCAAAAGAGTGAAGTGGCTCAAAGGCCCAGGTTGTAGGTTAGGATTGGCAAACAGTGAAAAAGCATTGATATTAATCTGAATCCAGAAGTCAGGGTTGGAAGAAAAGTCAGATCCCTCTCCCATCTTGTGGTGGTGAGTGTGGAGTCATTTGATGCAGTTACATCTATAAACTCTACAGATATTACAATTGTGATTTCTAATATTTTGCTACTTAGTTAGGATGGCCGGGGGTTATTTCTTCTTATATTTATTTTAGATTTAATTGTAGATCTAAGTTGTTTAGGAACAAAAACTTTCTTAAGGAACTTAATAAAACAATTTGTCTGTTTTAAATGAAATCTGCTAATTTTTATTTTCCTTTTTTTTCAGTCAAAGTCATTCTGGATAAATAATAATAAAAGAAGCTGATTAGTGTGTCCCTGATTATCATTACTGTCTCAAAGTTTAAGTAGTGCGGTCTTTTATGCGGAAATTTAGTCTTTTATTATGATGATTTTTGACCAAAATACAAAATGTCCTTATATTCTTCAGCAGAAAAGTTAAACAGCTGCATCCATCAGCCTGGAAAATAAACAGTACATTTGTCGTTTTGACAGAACCAGTCAAAAAAATTACCTTGAGTATGAAAAACTGTTTTCTCTCACTAGCTTTATGAATCAATCTTATGTCAAATGAAGAATTTTTTTTTCATGTATAGAATATCATTTTATATTTTCAATTGGTTTATATTACTGTATGCACTAAGTAATACATAGTAAATATGTATATGGAGTCTGAATTTCCGTATGTAAATCAAAAATTTACAAACCATTTATTTACAAGTATTTATTGTATTAAGTGCAAGACCACAGCAAGTGCAGTAGTGACAAAGACTAACACACATTCACACACAGCTGGGTTCTACTGATGGATTCCATTATTTTTGTCTTGAGTTGAAAAGTTCCCCATGAGTTTTAAAACTGCTAATAGGCTTCATTTTTAGTTTGTCCTCAAACTTATAGGACTTAAACCAAGTCCCTGACAATAATCACGAGACAAAAACTTGATGTAGAACAGACAGAATCTCACAAATTATAGCACTTTTTCTGCTCTCCTTTCCTCCTGTGTTACAGCAGGCGCTGTCATCTCCATGGATGACAGACCCCCACCCCACCAACATGCGCAGATACGAGGGGTACGGATTTTTAACAAAAATTATAGATTTTTGAGGCTCATTAGACAGGTAAACGTCCAAAGGGGTTGACGTATGAACACCTTCACAGCTGGTGAGGGTGCACGCCCGGTGCGAGTAGCTACCCAAAGCGTGAGCCTGCTCTGCGCTGCGGCCACAGCTCAACATTCAGCATCAGCCAGAAGGCTACAAACAGAAAACAAATAATTATTCTTACCATACAGTGAGCCACCATTTGCATCTGATTTTACTCCCTCTCTTCAGACTTTTTTCAWTATTATTATTTTTTATGGCACACGTAATGTGCCGGGTTTTTCAGGCCCGGGACCCAAAAAAGGTTTTCATTGCACTCCAATCCAGCCTCCATTCTTCACCAAAAGTAAATAAAAAGGCACCAAGGAAACCAAAGCTGCCTAATTACATATGGGATTCAGCCCATTCCTGTCCAAATCACAGAGATGCCTATTCGCATTGGATTAGTATTATCACAGGACCTCGGAGTTCAGCGAAATATAGTAGGTAATTTGCGGGGGAATTTTTATTTTACAAATTGCTGACATGGCCGATTCGCACGGGATTAACAACACAGACAATCTCTGTAATTATTACAAATAGCATGGGTTCCCTAGGTAAAATTAATCCCATCAGAATAGAACTATTGTCTGTCTGCAGATGTTAGGAATTGTTAAAAATTGCCAATGTTCAAAATAAATTAAATTAGTGCAATGACTAACTGTGGTTCATTTCATTTTAAAAGCAAAGTGTACAGCTGTTCATTCTGAGACAATAAACTTATGAACAGATTCAGTGGCACAACAAGTTCATGCTTTTGAAATTGTGAATTATTTAAGCATTCAATAAGTCTACCATAATTTGACACCCTCTCTCTCTGCTTAATGACAGCAGCAGTGTTCCACCTTTTAGTGCTCATGAATTTCAACCCTTCTTATGATCCATTAATAACCACTGAAGCACAGACTTATGTGTCATGTTGCACACATTTGATCAGGAAATTTGTTTGATTGATTGATTGATTGATTGATTGATTGATTGATTGATTGATTGATTGATTGAAATCTTTGACCCATCCAGTGGGTCTAACAGCCAAACCGTAAACCAGTCTTGCATGAGCCGCCCTGTTTAAGCGTGTCTTGGTGTCTGTGCAGTTGATTACGGTTGTTTACAAGTTCAAGGCTTGTTCAAGCACGACTTACAGCCGATATCCTGGATGTATAAATTTTTGTATTCGTGCAGCCAGTCCCTGCTCCCTCTCTCCTCTGATTTCCCTGATTAGTTCCTCTGGAATTTAGTCTGCCTCTGTTCCTCCTCTGGTTGTGTTCATTACCAGGGTTTCCTCCTGTTACTTCCTCGTGTGGTTACCTATCTCTGTGAATACCAGTCCTGTGATCTTTAGCTGAATAAACATTACTTTTTTTAACTTCAGCTGTATGAGCTGTAAACATTATATCACAAAATGTAAAACAATTCTGAGGATCCCTAAACTCTCTGAAATGTAGTTTGCCAAACAATGTTTAATACTCACAACATTTTTCTGTAGATCCTTCGTATGTTTTTCCTCTAACACCTTGACTTTGGAAAACAGTCAAACAAATGAATAAACAGTATGTTTTTTTTTATTACGCTGCAGCAAGTCACTTTTTGTTTACCGTCTGAGCAAAGCTAATTGACTTGTTGCATGCACATTAAGTCTTGAACGTCTTTCTATCTAATTCTCCCAAGAAGAGCTCATTTCTCAAAAGCAAGACTCTGGTTCATGAGTGTTTTGTGTTCTCATTTAGACAACTAATTGGTGATTTCTAAAGATAGAACCAAGGACATCATCTCYAGGGCTGTTTTTACTTGATTTGTTCTGTGTCCAAAGTAAACATGTGATACAGTTTGTATTTAAAGGGGCAACATTATGTGTTTCTCAGGCATACATTTAAATACTATACCATAATAAAGTATCAATGTCACCTTTAGCTGTTATTAAAATGCAGTTTTTATGTTTATATAGAAAATAAACTTATCCTCTCATCACTTCCTCTTCTAAACGCCTTGAAATTGGCCTCTGTCTCTTTAGGAACCACCTTCCAAAAAAACCACCTTCCACTTCTGTCCCATCCATTTCAGTGCGGGGGGAGGGGGGTGTTTGCACGTGCGCTATGATGCAGTTTACTTGGCATCTGAAAACTGAAAATACATTTCCTCAATGGTATTTTTAATCTGAAAAGAGATTCACTGAGTGAGAACTAATGTTGAGAGCACAGCAGACAGTTTCAGTTTCACTTTCAATTTCACCTGAGAGCCTGCAGGAGTCATGGGGCGGGGTGTGTGGGGAGTGGGGTGGGGCGCTCTGCCTTGAGGAAGCTCGGCTTAAAGACACGTCCCAGGGGCGTTTCTGGTCCCCAGAGGTGTTTCTGGTCCCCACCTGTCGTTTTGCTCCTCAGCATGGCTGCCTAAAAACGCTGCAGGATTTCTCAAACATGCATGAATGAGTCARAGCAAGGCTTTGGGCATGTTTTTTATGAGTATAACATTATAACATGATATAAAACTCAAAAAAAGTTGATTTTACAAATGATATTGCCCCTTTAAAGACTTAAAGCTTTGATAAATATAACATTTGAGTATATTTAAGACAAGACACCAGAAATATGTTTGACAGTTGCTAACTGACATTTAGATGCAAATGTAAAATAAAATGTTTCATCTTGGAATCTGCGTCTGTAGTTGCAGAAACACAGCAAGACTTCTGATAAATAAAAAGAAATGACCACTTTTCTCCATATCTAATATTGCATCATTTCCMTTTTTTCCATGCATAAATATCGCAGTTTTGACTCTGTTAATCTGTTTTGTGGCTCCTGACCCAGTCACATTTCTATTCAGAGAAACTAATCAAACATCATGTTTTGGCAGTGAAACATTAATCACTCTGTGTTTTCCCAGAACGTCTGCAGCACTCTGTGGTGCACCGTGGGAACAACCTGCCACTCAAAGCTGGATGGAGCTGTGGATGGGACCAGCTGTGGGGAGAACAAGGTACATTTTCTATTTCAGGACTAATGCAGGGGGCTGGAAGCTTTAGTTGAAAACTGGGATTCTTTTAAAGCTACGATGAACTGCCTTTTTTCAAAGGAAGTACGTTTTGCTTCTTAGCACTAAAAGTTATTATATGGAGATTTTAGGAATTCAGTCTGCTGGACTACTTAACCTACAAGATTTACAATCTAGCCTGGCCGTAAATTCACTCTGGAAGACTCCTCACAGTCTCACCTGCTTCATTGTCACGCACCTCCACCATCCCAGCATCGACCCACGCCTCGTCYCCAACCAGTCAATGTGCAAGTCCTCACTTATAAGGCCCTTCTCCTTCCGCTCACCAGCCGAGCTAAAATCCGCCTCCACCCCTCTTCCACCCTCGCTCTTCCAGCTCCTCCAAGCTTCTTTCGTCCTTCACTCCACCACCAGTGTCCAGGCCCGGGGYGGGGAAGACATCTGTAACTCTCATTGACCATCACAATTCACAGCGCCTACATCTTCTGCCAGRGTCCAAGTGCCATTAAGCTTTCTARCTGCTGCTTTGTCTTTGTGTGAGTCTCTCCAGGTTGAAATGCTCTTTRAGCAAAGTAATGTAGCTTTAAAGATGTGTGGTGTTTTTGCTCAACAAATTATTTACAATTTACAAGTTTAATTTCTCTTCCTACCCCTAAAACCCCATGAATGAAGAAAACTTTAGAAGAGCTACCTCTGCTCAACAGGACTAAGAAAGTAAACCCAGTTTAGCTGTAATTGGGACAAAAATAATGGTCGTGGTATCTCGGGGTCAGTGAGGCTGCAGGTTTAAGCCCAGGTTATGTCATCTGGCATAAGACAACTACCAAATATGTTGTGTGCGTTTTCTTGATTCAACATTAACAATTCACTTTTCAATCAGCTTCTAATTAGGGTGTTAGAAAGAAATCAAAAAGCGCGGTAATTATTTGGACAATCTCCGCACAGAATCCCAAGAAAGTAAAATGATGAGCTCAGTCATTTAAACTCCACTAACATGGTAAAGTTTCAAACCTGTGTCTTCTTATTTTTAAASCTCATACTGTCAGCTGACAGTTTTTAGATACCATTTTTTTATTTCTCTTATTTTTCACTGTAACAAGATGTCTCCCATCTCTGTTTGTTGCTTTGTCCCCAAGTCKCAGTGGGGTCCTTTAGTCCAAGTCGTGAGTGGGCAAGGTTTGTTTCCCCTTTCAAACAACACATCAGCCGGTTCACACAGCAAATGTTCTGTTCTGATTTGCCCACCTCAACCTTCCTGTCTCTGACAGCTTGTGTCTGATTTAATGTGACACCTCCTCCAGCCTGCAAAAGATTMTTCTGTATAAGAGAGACAAAAGTCGTTCCTCTCCACCTGTCATCACTTCTGTTCGGGGTCATGCACCAACTGACCAGCAAATAATCGATTCACTCACACACCGTGCAGTTTGTCCTGTGGCCATGAAAACACRGTTTATGAAACATCAAAACACAAGTTCCACTTCTAACTTTATTTTAAGTATTGGTCATCCCCAACTCCTCCATTTTAACAAAAAAAAAATACCACGAGGGGAAGAGCTGCAGCCAGTGTTTTGWGCCACTGCTGTAGAGCAAATGAATGATGTTCTAACCTGTCATGTGTGGTGTCATCATACATTCAGTGAAGAATTAAAGCTAATAAAAACCTGAAATTACTCCTAACAGTCAGTGATTTMTCTCGTACTCTTAATAGGTTTTATTTTTAATGATTTCAGAAAAGGTGAACTTAGTTCTATTAAGTTTTTTTTTCTGCACCCTTGTAGTTCGTAATGGAAGCAGACAGGCTCATTTATCTTCAGAAGAAATCCAGGCCAGTCCAGAGACATGCACACTGTGYTGCATAAAAAGTCATGCTGCATTCACTTCCTGCTAAATAAGAAGTTGTAACATTCAGAAAATGTTAGGAGAAACTTTAGTGTATTTTATTATTATTATCATTATTATCATTATTATTATTTGCAGTGGTGTATCAGTGGGGACTGTGTACCAGTAGGATATCACCCTGAGAGTGTAAACGGTGGCTGGGCTTCGTGGAGCGAGTGGTCGGTCTGTTCCAGGACTTGTGGCGCAGGTGTCCAGACCGCTAAAAGAGACTGTGACAACCCGGTGTAAGTTTAAATCCTCTTCTTCATGTACAGAGAACAGCATTTAGAACTGGAGCAAACTTCAAAGTAATATCAGCCTTAAATGTGTTTTTACCCATTCTTGTGCAAACAGAAAAATAATTATTTTCTTTAGCCAGTAAAAAAAAACACTTTATAGCTGTTAGCAGGACATTTCTCTTAAGTAGGCATGAAATGAAATCAAGTATGTATTCATTGTTAAAATACATTTTTAAGAAATATATTTAGCCTCTTTTGAACAAAGCAATAACATTTTTATTATATAAACAAATCATGAAGAAATTATAACAGTTTAATTTGACTTAATTTTAAACTTCTRTTCCCTATCAGTTAAGCCATGTAGATAGTACAGTGCAAATGAATATGTAAAAAAATATTATTTTCTCTTGTCCTAAATAAGAATATCAAAAGACACAAGAGAAAGCTGAAAAACTGATTTATAATAAAACATTTTAACATGGTTTCAAATATGTTCCTACATAAGTAATATTTTTATGAGAAATCCATCTAATATAAATAAAATCMTTGTCAGTATCATTGCTGAAATGTTATGTTAAAATGAAAAATAAATGGATGTAAATATACAATTTTGTTGTATTTCCTCAAAACTTATTTTTAAACCTAGCTTGTCATTACTCAATGCATGGCAGCATGACAGTTTAGTGGTTAGCACTGATGCCTCGCAGCAAGAAATTCCTGGGTTTGATTCCTGATTTAGTCCAGGGCTCTTTCTAACTGCAGGTTCTCTATTCTTATGTGGATTTTCTCTTCATACTCTGATTTCTTCCCACAGACCAAAAACATGCAAATTATTGTAGTTTGCCTTCAATCCCAGACCACACAACCGAGATCTGGGATCTCAATGGGATTTGTTTTGGTAAATAAAGATCAAAAATAAACATGTTCAGTACAAAGTATTGCTTTTGGTTTGCATTTCAAAAATACCTAAAAAAAATGTTTCAGTAATGTAAGTCATCACAGCTTAAACAAAAACAGGAAACGTTTACTTAGCACAGTCAAAAGTAATGAAATGTGTTTGGTAGATTTTTTTCTTTGTTGCAACAATGCTTCTTGGCAATAAATTTTATATGGGGCACCTGATTGGCAGCTCCTGGGAGTAACCAGAAGCTCAACACAGGAGTCAATAACAAAAACAAAATAAGCTGTTTGGCAGAGAGGATTTGACAATTTGTTTTTTACGCGTGCAACCCACATCCTCAGCTCAGCTGCTCATCCCACAAATGCATGTTCCTTACAAATGTGGCACCATTTAAAAGAGACAGGCTTTCTAGCAGTATAAAATTTATTGACAAGCAGCTTTGCTACAACAAAAGAATAATCTATCAAACACAGATTTACTTATTTTAAGTTTTGTTAGGGAGAAATACAGACAACTAGTTAGTTGTGCTCACAGAAGTAGAATATTTAAAAACTAAGGTGTATTGATTAGTTTCTCCCTCACTGAGTCTGTGAACATTTGGGTTGCAATTAAAAGGTTTGAGACTGACAGGATATAGACTTCAGTAATGAAAGCTGACAAAAGTTGCAATTTGACGTTGGGAGATGGGACACAGCGCACAAATTCCTTTGTGTTGTTAAWTATTGGATGATTTTAAGACGTTGCTTCTTGTTAGTGCCTGATATAGCACATTTCAAGATAGGGATCACAAAGTGCTTCAACAAACACAAACAAAAAATAAAATAAAATAAAAAATAGACAGAGAAAATTTAAACAAATGCAAATTTAAAAAGGTAAGTTTTTAACTGAGCTTTAAAGGAGACCGAAGAGTCTGCTGATCTTAAATTCAGAGGAAGAGAGTTCCAAAGCCTCGGAGCCACAGACGCAAAATCTCTGTCTCCTTTAGTCTTTATTTTTGTCCGAGGAACAATCAGCATGTCTTTATCACAAGACCTCAGAGCCCTGACAGGAGTGTAAAAATGTAAAAGTTCAGAAATGTAGTGTGGGGTTCTGACCATGCAGAGCTCGCCAAGTCAAAACCAAAATCTTGAATTTCACTCGATGAACTGGGAGCAAATTAAGTTGCATTAACAGTGGAGTCACATGACAAAACCTAGAAGATCTAGTCAGGAGCCTGGCAGCCGCATTCTGCACAGACTGTAACCGGTCAAGAGAGGTTTTAGTTAGGCAAGTATACAGTACATTACATTAATCTAAACAAGATGAAACAAAAACATGAAGTAAMATTTCCATTTCTGAACGAGATATAATGAGGCTGAGCTTTGCTGTATTTCATAGATGGTAGAAACAGGAACGAACCAAAGTTTCAACATGATGATCCAGTGTAAGACCAGAATCAAAAATCATCCCAAGGTTTCTAACAGTCTCACAGCGATGCAGCATATAATGGTGAAGCATTGTAACAGTTTTGCAGGAAAGCTGAGATGTGAGAGTTCTTTAGATTTTATAGGTCCACTGCTCCTTATTCAGCCCCAAGAATCATTAGAGAACAAAATGTTGAATCTGGATTTTAAGGAATACACAAAAAAATGAACAGTAAACATGCATGCAGTATCTTCACTTTTAGACATATCAGTGGACCTTCATGACTTTCAATGAAAAAAATACATTTTTTTGTTTTCTGTTCAAAAAAGTGTTTGTTATAATAGGACATTGGGGGAAAGTAAAGACTTGGAAGTCACAAATCAGTATAAACTAAACACAAACAAACCCAAACTTTCTCTGTTTATTTTGTGGTCCCTTTTGTACTTTTCGGACTTTGCTTATTTGGTAACTAATAATGTGTCTGTAGAAATGTTTTCACAGTATCTCCAAAACCTTTAGACATTGGAAAAAAGTCTAAACTTTTCTCTCTCACACATGTGATTTTAATGTAGATCGGTCTTGTAGAAAATAACTCAGTGATACTTGAGTGAAAGTAGAAGTACTGTCTTACCATTAAATTACAAACAATGTAAATGTATGCATGCACCATAACATGTGAATATGGTGAGGATTCGAACATGTGACATTCTGGTGTTTGACATTTACTGTATTTAGGAACCAAAATTCTTATATAAAATGTACATAAGAATTAAAAGTAAAATTAACATTTTTCTAAAGACCTTAATGGCTCTAATGTTATATTGAAATGTTAATGTTGAAAGTTTTAAGACAACTAGACCACCTGTTTCAGCTGTATATATACATACTGTATCTGACAGTCATCTACATACTAGGCTACATATGTAAATGATAAATAAATGATAAATGGACTGTCCTCATATAGCACCTTTCTGTCCAACAAGGATACTCAAACTGCTTTACATTACAATCTGTGTCCTCATTTACCCATTCACACAGCACTCTACCAGATCTCTCTGCAAAGCTAAATCAGGTAAATCAATCTAATCTGTGATTTAAACCACACTTATACACTGATGGGGGCACATTACTTAACTACTCAGCCACAGCCACCCTATGTCCATGTCTGATATGTCCTACTGGAGTGTGACGTGATTTGTGTCATGCAGGTGTGATGATGAATTGTTTATAAGGCAATAGGGCACAGGTGTGGAACACTGGTCCTCAGTTATTCAGCATGTTTGTTTGCTTCCCTGCTCAAACACACCYGATTTGCATGAATGGATGATTAACAGGCTTCTACAAAATGTGAAGAGTTAATTGAATCACTGAGTCAGCTGTGTTGGAGTTTGACACCCCTGCAGTAGAGTGTCCTAATATGTATACAACTGTACAAAATTCACTTTATCTGGGAGGCACCATATAGGTGGACTTTTTTTTTCCCAGCCAGGGGTGGGGGGCGCCAGTGAGCACATGGGATGCCCACAAGGTTGTCAGCTCAGAGGATGTAAAGATATCAATATTTTTTTAGTAAATAAAAATCCCCCAAACCAATGCATTTGAATAATTAAAACTCTGAATAACCCAGTTCTTTTTTCAGCCTTTTCCACATAAAAGTTTGTAACTATTTACTGTATTCTTTTATTGTTTTTGATTAAAAAGATGAAGGTTGAACGCATCTTTGGGAGAGTTCAGGAGTAGGTATTTGGGTGGGGTGAGGGGGGATCTCAGCTTTGTTGAACCACTGGTACGTATAACCAATTTTTTTTCTTAAATAAAGTATTAGTGCTTTGTTACTTGACGCCTCTTATGTTGATGTTCAAAAAGCAACACTGAAACAATACTTTGACWATCCTACAGTCCAAAACACAGAGGGAGATATTGTTTGGGAGAGCGACTAAAGCACAGGATCTGTAACACCTCGCCTTGTCCTCATGATGAGCCCAGCTTCAGAAACATCCAGTGCAGTCACTTCAACAGCCTGCCCTATAAAGATAAGTTCTACAGATGGGAGGCAGTCATYAACAAAGGTCAGTTTCTTCAGCTTTTTCATTCTCTTGTTCCTGTTTTGTCAGCTTTGTATATTTTTTCTTCTTTGTCTGTGGACAGCTAATCCRTGTGAATTGCATTGCCGTCCACTCAATGAGCAGTTTTCTGAGAAGATGCGGGACACTGTTGTTGATGGAACACCGTGTTACTCAGACAAGAAGAGCAGAGATGTGTGCATCAAYGGCATTTGTCAGGTAGTCATACTGCTCACAGGCAACATGTCCTCCTATCTGCATTGTTGTTTTGTATAATCTCTCTGTGCCTTTTGTTGTATTTCTCTTATTCATTTTCACTATTTGTCTGCCATAAATTATTTTTAACAATTATTTTGTTTGATTTACTTTTTTCCTCTTATGTTATAAACCCACTTTTCACAACTTCATTTTGTTTCCTGTTTCTTTTTCTGAATCAACTATTTTCATCACTTCTTTTTATGTAAATATATTTTAGAATTTAACGTGTTTGTGCCTGATTTTCTCTGCACTCCACAGTCAGTCGCTGCTCTTTCTTGTTTATGAAGTCGTTCTGGTATTCATGTTAGCTTAGTTTTAATAATCTATCTTTATTTGTGTGGGTTTTTGGACTTAATTGTGAATTTCTGCTTTATTTCTTCAAAATTGACCTTGTCAGTCAGAATTATCTCACATCCAGTCTTACAGTTACTTAAGTCTTAAGTTAAAAATTCTGCTSTTGCTGATGTAGTTGTAAGACATTATTTTTTCGTTGACATTTTGAACTGAATATGAAACTAGAAATCACACAAATAGAGCTCCTGAGAAGCCCCACCTCCCAAGATTCTTCATTTTTTAAGCTTCCCCTTCTGTAACCGTATATTTTTAATTAGACAGACTGAGAGAGTAAACACTGTTCAGCATTTGCAAATTTGTACGAAGAGCCCATCACCATTTCTATCAGACAGTGCACATTAATGTGTGAATAAAGAGAATGGGCCTCATGCAAGAACATTTTTATATTCTTATTCTAAATTTCTCTTACTTTTGTTCATACAGAGGGTTAGTATGAACATGTCACGTCAGATTCAACAAAGTCTTCTATCTTCAGGAAACACGTGTGAATGAGCAGCGTAAACTGATGAATGCGTATTCAGCTGAGGAGAGCCGAGGAGAGATTAGCATAATTACTACCCCAAAAACACCATATAAGGCTATAGTTCCTGCCCCACATACCAGGAGGTGTCCATTCATAAATGACATTGCAAACTAAAAAGAAGAACTTCATGAGTTCTGAGATTGAAGTTCTGCTCTCAGAGATCCAGAAAAGGAAATCTGTCATTTTTAGCAGCGTCAGCTGTGGAATTAAATTAGGACCTGCTAAAGCCAAGGAATGAAATGACAACTGCTGTTAATGTTGTTTCTCCTGTGGGTCATATACAGTCACAGAAAAAAAAAATCTAAATCATATTCATCTCTCTTCTGCTCCCATTTTTCTTTGGTCAAATATTTTTAATTCAAGTGTAAACAACTGWATTACATAGTTTTCATTTATTCAGAAGAAGAGCAGTCGTGCACCGCTACCCCCCCCCCCCCCAATCCCCGACACAAGTGTTAGATGCGTTTCTGAAAAAAAAAAAGCATTTTAAAATGTCTCCAAACTTCAATTAATGCATAATTTAAGTTGGTTTTTAGTTTGAGATCTTCTTATTAATATTGTAGTGTTATACAACAGCATTAATAGCCAATTTAAATTAATTTAACCATTGGTCTACATTATTACATTTAAAATTATAATTCTAATTCAAACAGAATAGACTACTGTCAACATAATTATGGAGTGTGATTTATTTTCAACTCAAACTATCTTCAAAATAATGAAATATAAAGTTATTAGTGAAGAAAATTTGTCTGGATAACAGCAGACTGACTGCTGGTAAAATATACGACAGGTCTGGACCACTCGTAAATTTTGTTCGTATCTGAAAAAAAATCTTAGAATACGAAAACATTGGTGAATGCCACAAATTCTCCTAAATCACTTGTACGCACAATTTAAGAACAAATCTGTGCGTACGAACGGTTCTTGCATGAGACCCTCTGTGTCCCTTTTGCATTGACAACAAAGTTCTGACAAATTACATTGTAGTTGATGCATACCTCTGCAAAGCAAGATTCTGCCCAGACCTTGTGCACAGAACAGGTTCTCTGAGTTCACGTAAGAAAAAAAAATTTTTTTTTTTTTAAGTCACGCAACAATGTCAAAGAGAGATTTCTCCACTTCTCATGGAGAAAATGCACCTCTGGTCACAAAGTTCCTAAAGTTAACCCTCACCTTGTTTGTTCTGTGTGTTGCACATTTGACATTCTCAGTGACAATGAGCATGTTGATAGAATAATGTGGTGGCCGTTATCATTAAAGATAGGCAAAAGCAGAAGCAGAAAGTTATCAGCTCAGGTTAAAATGCCATCTGCTGATAGACCGTGGTTGAACCCTGGCGACACTGGTCAGACGCCAGGATCTGGCTTTTTGACATTTTGTGACATTTTTTGTCAGTCGCTTTCGAGTCCTCTGTTGTACCTGCACAGGTGGGTTTACTAGAGAGTTGCATGAAAACTAATTCATTGGGTTTTTGATTCACTCTCTTCAATGTAGTCATAGTTTGTAATATCTACTCCACATAACTTATCTTTTTTAACCTTCGTGTCTACTGCTTTTAAGAAATAACTTTTTTATTCTTTGCACAGTTTGGTAGGTTTAGTCGATTAATTTAAAGTTTCAAATTAATTTTCATGTATTCATAAACAATTTTAATGATCTCCTTGGGAAATCCATAAGCCACCCAGCTGTACAGCATAAATAATGCTGCACCAGTAATTTTATTTTAATTGAGCCATATGCATAACATTAACAACGCCGGTGGTTTTTATATTGCTACGTGTACGCAGCAATATAAAAACAAATCAGCGCAGGACAATATTTCAAATTACAGCATGTTTTATTAATTTTATTTGCACTTTCATTTGCATCACCTTCTTTTGTGAAGTCAAAGTTAAACAGAGTAGACTGTGCTGCTCCTGTAAATTTTGCATGGTTATGTCCACATAAAGAAAACATTTTCAAGGGTTTATCTATCGAAAGTAAACCGATAAAGGCTCCGGCCTGTAATTGTCTGTTATGATGATGCGGAAATGTGTGTCTGTGTTGCAGAATATAGGCTGCGACTACGTCATTAACTCCAACTCTGTGGAGGATCGCTGTGGCGTGTGTAACGGCAACAGCTCCACCTGCAAAACTGTCAGAAGGACATTTGAGAAGAGCGAAGGACTTGGTGTGTTTCTTATTACATTTGTTATTCTGTAGGCTTTTTAAAAAATGTATTTAATCACATGACACTTGATGTGAATAATTACAAAAGAAAGAAGGATTTCAAGATAAAAACTCAAACTTCGCAACAGACAAATGGAATTAAACAACTTGATTTTTTTTTTTCATTTTAAATGTCCTCAGAGTCTGAATACCTGATGCTCCAGTTTGTTTACTTTGTGTTTAGGGTATGTTGACATTGGGCTGATTCCTGAGGGTGCCTGGGACATCCTAATTGAGGAAGTGGCAGAATCTGGGAATTTCTTGGTGCTGAGAAGTGATAACCCCAGCAAGTATTTTCTGAATGGAGGCTGGACGATTCAGTGGAACGGAGAGTATAAGGCAGCAGGAACAGTGTTCACGTATGAGAGGGCAGGGCAGCTGGAAAACCTGACGTCTCCTGGCCCCACAACTGAGCCACTGTGGATTCAGGTAATTTTATGTATTTATTTTAGGGCTGTACGTTATCAAGAGAACCACCTGTGATGTACGATAACAGAGCTTAATATTGCAATGACGATATGAATTGTGATAAATCAAAAAATATGTAAGTATACAGTGTTGATGTTTTTCTGCTCTGTGTTCAGAGCAGAAAACAACTAATACATAATTTCCATTACAACATGATGGAGTAATTATGATTTGATGTTTCTCTGGTCAATKTTATTTATCACACTGATGCTGACAAACCACATAAATGCAAACGTTGGATCCAATCATTTATTGCAATCTATGATTTTTTTGCGATATGCATATTGCATTGGCTGTTGTYGYGAWAACRATAAATTTGTGATTTATTGTGCAGCCCTAATTTATTTATTTGCATTTAAAATAAATGCTAGAAGAGATTTGTATTTTCAGAAAGGTACGTTTGAGTAAAAGTGTGCAAAATACCTGGTCATAGGTTCTCTTACTGTGTACGACGGATTATTAGGGCCACACAACGAGATTTTTTTATTATTATTATAGATTAAAGTCATAATATTATGAGATTAAAGTTGTAATATTATGAGAAAAAATGCCATAATCATGACGTGTCTATTTCCCGTTCCTCATTTCCTCCTTATTTAACTCACACCTGCTGTACAGCCATATGTCTCTGTGTTTATGAAGTAGTCCATGATGAATTGGGTCACTGTTAGATTAATATGCTTTCATCCAAATTAGCTATGTGACGACTAAATCCATCAATGCATCCATTAATTACAATATGGCTTCAGTTTATCATATAGTCATTTGCACAATTTCCAAGTCCTGCTACTGATAATTTGATGCTAAATGTGCTAAAAGATTAACTATTTATTTATAGCAATACTAAAGAACAACTTGACAAGTTGTTCAACATTCCTCATTTTAATGCAGTGGTAACTGCATGCTTTTTCGTGTAAAGACAATATTATGACTTTTTTTCTCGTAATATTATGGCTTTAATCTCGTAATATTATGACTTTAATCTCGTAATATTATGACTTTAATCTCGTAATATTATGACTTTAAACTCATGATATTATGACTTTAAACTCGTAATATTATGACTTTAAACTCGTGATATTATGACTTTAAACTCGTAATATTACAACCTTAATTTCTTAATATTATGACTTTAAACTCGTAATATTACAACCTTAATCTCGTAATATTATGACTTTAGACTCGTAATATTACGGCCTTAATCTCGTAAATTACGATTTTAATCGCGTAATATTACAACTTTATTCTCATAATATTATGACTTTATTTTTATACGACTTTAATGTCATAATATTATGGCTTTATTCTCGTAATTTAAATTTTTTTAAAAAAAATCTCATCGTGTGGCCCTAATACTCTGTCGTAACTATGGATTTCAAGGCTTTAAGATCTTTTAGCAGCTCATTCRAGGTGTTGTCAAAGATGTTTCAGTCCAGGTGTTGTGGAGAGGGTGCAGCAAAGCTTTCAGTTCTTGTCTCAGTGTTGAGTTTTCTTGCATGTAATTGTTGTTGAAGTTGTCCCCTTCATGCTCAGCTTCAGATGGATGTAAGTGGTCTTCCTGAACTCAGTCAAATCTAAGTTAATTATTTCCTGCCCTTTGGCAGAATGGTGCTTTCTGGTTGCAGCACCAGCTTGTTACACGATGGACATAGTTTCATGCTGCTGTTTGGTAATTAGGAGGCACTTTTTTTTTATTTTATAGAAATGTGAATTTTTGGAATTAAACTGGTTATTAAAAAGGTAGTTTGCTCATATGTTGGAAAAAAATCTGTTTGGGCTGTGTCATTTTACAGGTTTTGTTAAATAGAGTTGTTGTTGTTGTTGTTGTTGTTGTTGTTGTTGTTGTTGTTGTTGTTGTTGTTGTTGTTGTTGTTGTTGTGCTTTATCCTATCTGGCACTTAATTTTGTAACAAGAATAGAAGAAATGATTTTTTTTTGTCCCCGAGTGACTCTCCTTTGAAGGTCATAATAATGGAATAGGAACAGCTCACCATCACTTCAGACTCAGCAAATTTTTCCTAAAGCTCCTCCTAAACTCCCTCASCTGCCAAAAAATATTTTAATTGGTCTGGCTTGGTTTTCTACAAGCAGTTCTCTCTGAAAGTTAACTAACTTGACCTCCACTCTTTATGTTACATATACATTTCTAACTAGATGTTGATTTTTTTTCTCTGAAAATTCTTTGTGAAGTTGCTTTAAACGGTGATGACGTTGGGATAGGGTTTCAGGATGTATTCTCATAAAGCTTGATCGTTTCTGTTGCCTTACTTCATCTTTTCCTATTGTTGAWGGCAAACAAGTCAAAGTTTAAAGTCGTTTTGCACGCTGTGTTGTTGTTTCACCAGTAGCCACCATGACTAAACATGCTGCTGAATGCTACTGTGCACGTGTGARGCTTGACAGAGATAGACGGACAAGAAGATGTCTCACTCTTGAATGCAAACATGTAATCTTTGAGGCAAGTTCTCATTTGTTCTTATTGCCTGCTGCTGTAAAACGGGCACTAATATTTGCACCTGTGTGCTTGTGTGTGTCATATTAGCAAAATATCTCATAAACRTCTTTGTAGATTTGAATGAAACTTTCAAAAAGTAATCATTGTTTGCACATTCAGTATACARCTCAACTTTTAGAGCTAACCCAATTCAAGAAGACAGCCACTTTGCACTGACTTTAGAAAACACAAAAATGACTATAATTCTACCACTTAGGCTTGTTGCTAGGCGCGGGTAACATTGGCAAATTTGAACAAACTGCATTTCATTTTGAATTTTAATGTGGAGAATTTGGACATGAGTTGTCTTAGAGCAAGAAGGTCTTGGGTTTGATTGACGGTTCAGACCTGTGTGGAGTTTGCTTGTTCTATAGATCAAATAATCTGGTATGTTTTTGTGTCTGTGTGTGTGTAAAGCTTCTCTTTCAGGAGCCCAATCCAGGAGTGCGGTACGAATACACCATCCGTCGAAAWGTCTCAGATGAAAACAACATCCCAACCCCTGTTCACTTCTGGAAATATGGATCRTGGACTGAATGTAGTGTTACCTGTGGAACAGGTAAGAGATGTTGCTCTGCTTCAGATAAGTAAGAAGTGATGCACGCACATGTCAGAAGARCGAGGGGGAGATGATTGACTGGTTTATCTTTCTTGCAGTGCGTCTGCATGTTTCAGTCTCAGAGACAGACGGAAAGAGAGTTTAGCTGCATTAAAAATCTGTCTTCCGCTGTTGTTTTCATTATTTGATCTTACTGAAGCATACTGAGTCCAATTTTCTGTCAGTTTAAATTGTAACAAAATATAAAAGCCCTTTTAAATGATTGATAATGTGCAATAAAATGGGAGTTCAATCCAAATGAGAGCCAAACTTGAAAACTATGCAACAGATACAAAATCTGGGGCCTCATGTAYAAACAGTGCGTACACATAAAAAGTTGCGTGTGCCAGGATCTACACCCACGTTGGGATGTATCAAAACCAACGTTGGGTGAAAGTCTACGTAAAATATAAGTCCATATTTTAATAATAGACAATATAAGTTCCTATAAATTGTTCCTGCAGATTGTCTCTATGCTTTCTCTTAGCATGCATCACGCACATACTCACCCACTTGTTGAAACTGTAATGATGACTCATCTGACCAGAGAAATGTCGATGTAAACCAGACCGGTTGGCTTTGCCTCGCCTGACCCCTTTAAATGTGTATCCACCTTTAAAAATGTGGAGTCGATTTAATATGAGCATGCTTTCATGTCCACCTTATTAATCTGTTCACGTCCTACTCAGATGTTCCTGGTTGTCTAAATATAAATTGCTCTTCTGTTTTTACCTCTGATGCACAACTATGGCCGTCATCAAATCTGTGTCACAGCCCACGATATTTTACCCCATTTACTGCTGACTTAAAGTCAAGTTACCACTTTTGTCACTTTGTCAGTTGATAACTAAAGCTCCTCCCTTATCACTTGTGCCACAAATCACAAATGCATGGTAGCTGCTTCATTTTGCTGTGGGGTGGAGATGTGTTGGKTCTGTGTTGCTGGGAAGTTAAGCTTCACCACTAGCCTTTGGCTGTTTGTAGATTCAGATTGAAACTCAGAGGGGGGGCGGTGGTTTTGTAGTTACACATACAAATTGGTAAAGTGCTGTTCTAGCTTTGAAGTCGACATGAAATATCTTATTTCCTGCCATCATTATTGGAATTTTATACTTTTTAACTATTTTTATAATGTGTGAAAATCTGCTTATGAATGAGGATTTTTATTGTGGCTTGGCTTGTGATCTGATGACTAATTCTTCTCTCCTAAGCTGAGGCAGAAACTGGAGATTTCTTTTTCAGATGATATAAAATTAAAAGAAATGAAGGACAAACATTTCTTGAAGTAAGGCACCCACCGCCTTTCATATCAGATTTTAAAACTTAGATCTTCTCCTGCTGAGAATACTTCTGATATGCTACTGTTTTAACCAAACCCTGTGAATTCAATTTGGTGCAATCGCATGTGATATTGCAAGATATGTTGGCATTTAGAGGGTGTTGTGAATGATTCTCAGCTACTACCACACCATATTAGCTCGGTCTTAGTGTCAGTAGGACTGTGCAGCTGTTTTGGGGTCCCGTTGCCTCCCTAAGTGAATTACTTGCAGATTTCAGTGATTCCTTTCAGAGAGTTTCAGTAAAATGTWTGAAATGCTGGTTTTAAAGTGCTATTATAARCTTCTGACCCTATGTGGAGCAGAGCTGTAGCTTTAGTGATGAGATGTTTATTACTGTTTCTCTTTTTTTAATACCCAGGCTTTAAAAAATGCTGCATTTATCAAAACAAACAAACAAAAAAAAAAACTATACAGGAAGGCACAATTGGTCCACAAAGCAGGTCATATGCAAAAAAAAAGAATTTGCCCCACAAACTAGTTACTCCAAAAAATAAAGGCTAAATGACATATTTACTTATCTTGCTGTATATTGTTTTATTCTATGTATTTCTCAACTATTTAGACTAAATTAAAATTTAAAATGTTTTTTAATGATTCATTTCCAACTATTTTTTCTACCTATTTGCAGATATGGAGTGGTACAGATCACTGAAAGTGTTTGCCAGATAAATTTATTAGATTATCACAGACTTAGATAACCCTAGACTGAGCCCTGCCTACCCCACCCACTGTTAGCTTCTGTGACAACACGGAGGAGCAACAATGGCGGCCTACCAGGGTAACGGCTCACAGTCACCATAGCAACTAAACAAGCCCAGCTGGATCTGTTTCATTGAGTATTTGTAATATTTTTATAATAAGTTAATAAC